ACCTAATAAAGTGGCCGGTGAGTGTAAGTAATCTGAGTTGATGTGAATTGAAATTCGTACGCGGATTTTATCTCTATATAACTTTGACACTTTTTTTATAGGAATACCCACAATCAAGTGTAACTTATGATCTGTTCAATTTGTGTAAATAAGTGTGCTCATGGGTGCAGCTGAGCCCAGCATCATGGATACCAGAGAAAACATGTGTTCACCAAACATCACACACCTCATCAAAGTTCAGATGGTCTCAGTCAGTGCCTGGTTAATAAATGATTGAATGTTTATTTTTGAGTGTAATGCACTGTCAGAGTTCAGTACTGTAGAGGAAGATTTTCTCTTTTATTTTACAATAAATATGTACAACAGTCAGATTAAATAGAGGGGTAACATTTGATTAAATTGTGATTGAAGTTAGTAAAACTAACTTACAGACTGCAGACCTGAAGTAGCCATGGCCATGCTGCGCTGGGCCTACACAGACGAGCTGGAGCTCAGTGAGGATGACGCGTTTCTCATCGACCTGATGAAGCTCGCCAACCGCTTCCAGCTGCAGCTGCTCCGAGAGAGGTCAGAGCCAAAGTTTACTCCCTAACTCTTTACACACCATTAGTCCTAATTTGTAGATGGAGGCAGGATTATCAGCTGCAACTTAAAACACTAATAACTCTTTGTCTGCTGAAACAGGTGTGAAAAAGGTGTGATGTCATCGGTGAATGTTAGGAACTGCATTCGATTCTACCAAACGGCTGAGGAGCTGAATGCCTCCACCTTAATGAACTACTGTGGAGAGATCATAGCCAGTCACTGGGTCAGTACCGTCATGTGCACGACCATGTGGAAGACTTGTTAACTCACACACAATACAAAGGTTTGGTTTCTGTTACTAAACWAAACAGTTTAATTGTTTTTCTTCTGAAAGCATCAACGATCAACATTTGTTCTTCGAGTTTTTCTCATGTTCTCCTAATTATGATTTTTAYTGTTCTTCTCTTTAGACAGTTTTCTGTTGTTGTGTCACGGCAGCAACAGATTTCTTGGAGGTTTTAGGGAGCGTTGTTGTACTGCGTTCCAGTTGTATCAGAACTTGAAATCCTGAAGCCGGACTGACGTCGGTTCTGAGCTGATAGCGTTCCAGTTTTAAACATCTGAAAAAGTGTTTCTATTATTTAGCTCTGCAACAATAAAACGTACAATAATAGTGCTCTACGGGGTATTTTGAGTGTACAAACAGTGTTAAAACATATATTTTAACTATCACTATAAAGTACTACAAGTATGTCTGACGTAATGTAAAATAAACAACACAGAAGCCATGTTTGTTTACATGCAAGATTAGCAATGTTAGCAGTTAGCTCGGACAAGCATGCTAGTACGCTACATAAATTAAACAAATTTAAAAAGGGAAAATAAACAAATTACACTCGTTTTTATTCTGCCTCCTCTCTTCTTACTTTCTGTCTGTTAAATAATGGGGATGGTGCTTGTGTACGTTCGATTACAGCTCAACATTAGCCGTTAGCTTAGAGAAACATGCAGCCATGTTGAAATGATGACGTAACGCATGCTCGGGCTGCTCCGGGATGGTTTGGATGCGCCGACCTCCCGACTTGAAACTACGACTTCAGGGGTGTTCCAGTTGAAAAATCGAACTCGGAGGCTCGAAGCTACGACCTCTGAGGACAACTGGAACGCAGCATCAAGACCGGTCTTAAGACCACTTTTTCATGGTCTTGGTCTCGTCTCGGACTCGACCACATTTGTACTCGGTCTTGTCTCAGTCTCAGGACAGGATTTTATTTCAAGAGAACAATTAAGAAATATCATCAAATTGTCTAATGTATTTGTTAACATCCTTGCTTTCATTGGCTGTAAAACATACTGRTTCAAATCGAAGCATGACTCATTGCTAATTAGGAATTTTTGTTACGCTGTCAACAAACCCCACCCCGGAAGTGGAAGATGTCTTCAGTAAAACAAACGTAAATCATAGAGAATATATTTGTAAAACAACATCCAGGAGAAAGCGTACAACAACTTGTAACGGCCCTGTCACATTAGACAACTTATGAAACGTTTTTATGTCTAAATTGCTAATAAAAGTTATATTAGATTAATTTGTTCCTATTGCATTATGTACACGCCGTAAAGAAGCTTTCTTTGATTTTTTCAATCCACTGCAAAAACTGTCCACCTAACCAAGTTTTAAAATCTTATATTGTTTTATTTATGTATTTCTTGGTAATATTTAWGTTATAAGCATTGTTTTTAGGTTTTGTGTTTCTTCACATGTTTAACTCTTTTTTTTATTGGCTGTCTTTCATTAGGATGATCTACGGAAAGAAGATTTCAGTACCATGAGTGCCCAGCTTCTGTACAAGATGATCAAATCTAAAACAGAATATCCTCTTCATAAAGCCATCAAAGTGGAGCGTGAAGATGTGGTCTTTTTGTATCTCATTGAGATGGATTCACAGGCAGGTTTTTCCAATTACTTGTTTATTTTTTTGCTTGTGATGCGTTACAGCATTGAAGACTGAAAATATTCACTTTACTGGGAAATAAATCCTGCTACTTCCTTTTTCTCACAGTTACCAGGCAAGTTAAACGAACTGGACAATAACGGTGACCTTGCACTGGACCTGGCGCTGTGCCGTAAACTAGAAGGTATCGCCACCACTYTGGTGAACAACAAAGCTGATGTGGACATGGTGGACCAGAGTGGCTGGAGCCTCCTGCATAAAGCCATCCAAAGAGGTTAGAAGGAACGATCGTTGACGGTGGTGGACACAGCTAACCAAAAAGTTAGCTTTGCTAACTCAAATACCGCTAATGCTACAATGCTGAACATGTAAAAAAAAATGAATGACTTAATTAAAAAACTAGCAGAAGCTAATGCTAAACAGTTAAACAAATAACAATTAGTGGAAGCTAATTAACAGCTAATCTCTAACCGCTGAGATGAATGTCATTAAAAGCACAGTGTGTAGGGTTTTGTCAATTCTTTAGCCGAAAAAGAGATAATCACTAATGACAACAATAAAAAACATGTCTAACATGCAGACAAAGACCTTGTTTTATTATTTTTACCTTATCAAAAGCTGTTTATATCTCCATGGTCGTGGGTC